CAAAACAAGACTCATACAGCTACACCAGGTCCAGGTATGGTACTGTCCACGGATGGCTAGCCACCTAGCGGTGCAAGATCGTAGCGAATCCCGGTCAGGATTCTACACCGGTTGCGCAAACTCTGAATCCGACCTAAACGATTAGGCTAATTAAATGGGAAAAACCGTTTTACGCTTTTAATTCAGAACCACGGCAAAGACGATTTTGAAAACTTCTTCGGAAGAATACCTACTACTATCTGACAAGTATTACGGGCACTTTAGAAAATAGCTTTGTCAGGGTAATGCCTCGAGGTGCACTAGAAAATCTAGCCGTGGCCGCACTCCGCCGCCCGCACATTCCTTGCCTATAGCACTGAATCACGACGGAAGTCACCGCTGAAAACGTAAAAAATAGGAATCAGCCAACAGAGCAGCTCTACGCATCAGTCAAGTGCAGGCGCAGATGGTAATCAAACTGTCTGCGTAAAACGGCTGTCTACGGCTGCCGAGTAAAGCAAATAACGCCACACAAGAGATTAAGTTAGACAGAGGCCGCTGACGCGATCCCATACTTTCTTACAAAAAGTGCTGCTTGCTGCTCAAAGACAAACAAAAAGTTCTTAAAACCGGAGTTCATCTAAAAACCGAAAAAAATGTTCAGTTTATCTTTCGTATAAACGTTAGTGTTGATACTGCGACTTCGTCGAAGTCTGTTCTTTCCAGATTCAGCAGTGACAAGACAAACGAAACCGCAACTGAACGACAAATCTGTGTGCATGAATGAAACCATCTACGAGCAATTCAGAAGTGAAAAACAGCCTGAGGTTTCGGCTAAAATGACTTGGCATTTCTGATACCGAAAAAGGGTCTTCATAAACTGAAGCCCGTGTCCATATCGTGGAGGTCAGGCAAAGGCAAAGATAATGAATCGCATGCGAGCAAATTTTTGAAGGAGAAACACGCCCAACATGCAGTTCGCATTAAAAATAACTACACCCAACAAATAAATTATCTGTAACCTACGAGCGGAAACTCATAATTTCATACCATAAAGAAATCCAGCGGATTGGAATCCCTTCACGACTTATACTAATGTGAAGGTACAAGTAAAGAGTATAAGCTCTTGAAATATCGTGTGTAATGAAGAGAGGAAAGGAAAAAGAAAAGTTGCAAGCGTTTGAAAGTCAGTCTTCTTCATACTTTCATGATGGAGCCATTCTAACGGCCTTCTTTTCATGAAATTAATTATGCGGGCGTTGGTTTCCAACTCCATTTTATCAGCCAGAAGTACGTTTCTTTATGGCAGAGTCGACAGCAGCTATATGGCACGCATACTCCTTAGTTTCCTGTTTTCTTTCTACAGGGTGATAGTTATTTATCAACCTCGAACGGAAGAAAGGTTAAGTGAGCCTTCTGATTCCGACTGAAAAATCCTTATCTATTATGAGTACCCTAAAAATAGTATGAAAAGATGAAATGGCTATTAGCTGAACGGAGAATATGGTATGCATACGGAGTGACGGTCCTCGAAAGATGACAGCTTCTGGGCGTTTTCGAAGATCCACCGCCTGAGGCAATGCTAAACAATTAATTTGACGGTTAAAAGATGCCAGCCTGTCAGCAGAGAAGCCGGCTGTCAAGAAGCTGGACGTGTGAGGCAATGCTGACTTGCGTCGGCCGATCGCTGATGATGAGGAGGCAAAAAAACGTAGGTGACTTTTGACGACGACGACGACATCGCAATGACAACTTTCCGCGCTGGTGACGTTACAGTCGTCGCGAAACTGCGACGACAATGATAGATGACGTCAGCATGTCACTCGTCTCATTACAACTACGGCTGGCGAAACGGCAGGAATGAGGGGAACACAATAACTCCGTCACTGCCTCTCCCTCTCTCGTTCTGGTCTACTTCGCTTCTAACTACTTTCCTGCCTGTTCGACATTCGGAGGAACGTCGCGACGGGTGACGTCAAAATTTATCGATTGATCGAGTGTTGGTTCATGGTGTTCGGTGAGAAGGTGTTTACGATCGACGGGTGGAGGCAGTTGAGGGACTTGTCGTCCGAACACTCGTTGTGTGACGTCGTAGCGAATTGTGCGGCGCGTGAGAACAGCCGTCGCCTGGCCGAACGCTCGTGCAGCGGTCGCCACGAATGACTGAGTGCTTGTGAACGTGTGTGCGCTGATGCGCGCCGAATCGCGCCGGTAGCAGCAATTCGGCGCAGGGCACCACTCTGTAAAAAGACTAACTCAAAAACTCGATGACTCACCTTGTGCAAAGACGAATGCGAACGCGCTTATTGACGGACTGAGATGACCGGCAAACGCGACGGCAATGAGAATGGCACTGACGGAGACAGGAGGTCGACGATGGTGGTGAATGCGGCGGAGGCGGTGCACAGGCGAGGCATCGGCCTCGTCGCTAACGGCAACACATGGGGGGAACAACGAAGTGACAACACATACATTGTCGTCGACGGCTTGTTTGTTGCTTTTGTCACAGACTGATCGATGTGACGACGACCGACGACTGAGGAAGAGCCAGGGCACAGGAAACTGCTTTGCGGAGGCAACTGCGTTGTCGTCAATTCCTCCTGCAAATCGGCGATGTCGGCCGTAGAAAATAGACACTGCATTGCGCGCACGCGTTATAAACATAGCGGTTTTATTCAAACCAGAAAACGCGATGTTAAACGCCGAACGACGCGCAAACCATCGCGCATCCTCACATCCTCACCGTCGGAAGAAGTTGAAACGGTGCAGAGCACATGCACACGCACACGCTCACGACAAGCCGCTGCTAATCAGCTGCGAAATCCGGGGACGACCGACCAGGCACAGGCAGAGAGGCGAACATCGACGCGAAAACCGATACATCTTCGGCGAACCGCCTACAACGTAGCGATGAACGGTCCGCGGGTCGAAATGGATTTTGGTCAGATGTCGGTTGGTTACATACCGTTCAATCAGTTTAACAACGCAACGAGGAAGGGACCGCGACCGGCGGACGTCCAAAGACCGCAAGACTACGCCAAGCAAAAGAGTAACGCGTCGACGCCCGCGCAGACATCGTCATTATAGCGGAGGAGCAGAAAAACACGTTCATCTGGTGATGTAAGGTTTAAAAATAGAGCAACGGCGGCCAGCTGAAAACGAGTTCACTTGACTTTCCCTTAAAAACATTTCCTGCATGCAGACGTCACGGCGTCACCATCGGTTAGACCACGGTCGATCGACAGCGGCAACTTTCTGGAGATTCACTCACTGCCAAAATCGTTTCCTCGCTTGCCAGTGCCTGCCGTCATCTCGTATCGAGTGACGGGCACAGTGCGTCCACCAAAACCAACACTCACCTATCGCACCCATTGGCTGTTGGTATCGGCAAATCGCGAATCGAATATCTATGATAGCCGCTTGTCGACTGCCTGCGAAACCTAATGATCTTCTACTGCACAATCAGCTTTGAAACACATTCGGTGACGGTGCTCAATGGCTGTTGCGAAATTGAATGACCACTTGCATTTTAGTGAACTTTGGCACTTGCATTTGTGCACAATGTTATTAGGCAACTTTGACTCACTAAACGCGCGACTCATCTTTCACATCGGTGTACATACTGTTCATTGAACCGTGTGAGAACGAGGCAAGAATGGATTCTCTAAGCGAAATAGCGTGAGTTCCTTAGAACTTAGCACGAAGCTGACAGAATGAAATAAGACGGAGGTGGAAGCAGCGCGTTTAGAAATGCGAGTACCGAGTATGCGCGCCAAGAGCGTTCACACAAATCACGAGACAGTTGTCAACGGTTTTTCGACAGCGATGCGTGAAGGAAAAGACCTTCGACGAACTCGTCACGCACCGACGTTATGAGCAAACGATCAATGGAAAGAAACGCCGCAGAGGAAAGCCGGACAGAAAGAGGAAGTGTCGTGAAACGAATACAAACTTAGAACGCGTCGAACAGAAGTTCGCGTTTCGACCGATTCGCAAACAGCCGCTGTTTGTCACTTTCCGTAAAAAAAAAATTGGCTTTACACCTTATACCGATTCTCGCACAACAGTCAGTTACCAGGTAAGTCAAGGAG